TGTACATGACACAACCCGAAGGTTTTGTCGATCCAAGGAACCTGAGGATGGTGTGCAAGCTTCAGAGGTCCATTTATGGTCTGAAGCAGGTTTCAAGGAGCTACAACCCGAAGGTTTTGTCGATCCGAGGAACCCGAGGATGGTGTGCAAGCTTCAGAGATCCATTTATGGACTGAAGCAAGCTTCAAGGAGCTGGAATCTTCGCTTTGATGAGACAATCAAAAAGTTTGGTTTCTCACAGAACGAAGACGAGCCATGTGTTTACAAGAAGGCTAGTGGGAGCACAGTAGTATTTCTAGTGCTGTACGTGGATGACATTCTCCTTATAGGGAATGACGTTCTTACCTTGGAAGACGTGAAGTCTTGGCTAGGAACGCAGTTTTCTATGAAGGACCTAGGAGAAGCGGCCTACATTTTAGGCATAAAGATCTATAGAGATAGATCGAGGCGACTTCTAGGATTGAGTCAGAGTACCTACGTCGATAGAGATAGATCGAGGCGTCTTCTAGGATTGTGTCAGAGTACTTACATCGATAAGGTCTTGAAACGGTTCAAGATGCAAGATTCCAAGAAAGGAACCTTACCGATGAGCAGTGGTACAGTTCTCTGCAAGAGTCAGTGTCCTACGACACCTGATGAGCGAGAACGCATGGATCGGATCCCATATGCTTCGGCAATTGGATCGATCATGTATGTCATGCTCTGTACTCGACCGGATGTATCCTACGCGTTGAGCATTACGAGTAGATACCAGTCAGATCCAGGTGAGTCACACTGGATCGTCGTCAAGAACATCCTGAAGTACTTGAGAAGGACTAAGGATGTGTTATTGATATACGGTGGGTCGGAAGATGAGCTCGCTGTAAAGGGTTACACCGATGCTAGTTTCCAGTCAGACCCGGATGACTACAGATCGCAGTCTGGCTATGTTTTCTGCTTGAACGGAGCTGGAAGAGTTCTAAGCAAGCGACCATTGTAGATTCTACTACAAACTAAGTATATTGCAGCGTCGGACGCATCAAAGAAAGCTGTTTGGATTAGGAAGTTTGTTGGAAACTTGGGTGTCATTCCTAGTGCTGATAGCCCCATTGCTCTGTATTGTGACAACAATGGAGCGATCACACAAGCGAAAGAACTCAGATCCCATCAACGATCCAAACACATACTCAGACGATTTCACCTTATCAGGGAGATCATAGACAGAGGAGACGTACACATTTGCAGAGTGTCGACAGATGACAACATTGCCGATCCGTTGACGAAGCCTCTCTCTTCGTCGAAGCATGAAGGTCATGTTAGGGATATGGGCGTTAGATGTTTAGCAGTCCATGATTAGAGCAAGTGAGAGATTGTTGGTTTAGTGCTCTATGATGTACTGTTATGTGAGCTTTACTTAGATACGTTTGATGTATTGACACTTTTTATAGTTTATGGATGAGTGTTTGATTCATTACATATTGTGCATGCTTTAATATGTTATGAAATCCATGTATTGTTATGAACAATACTAAACTCCCTAGTCATGTATCATTGTGGGAATAATGATATACTAAGACTAGTATGATGTGTGATTGATGATCATATAGATGATCATAGGTATTGGATACGATCACAATCATAGGTATTCGTTGGAGAACAGAATGCTGAATTGACCCGCATGAGATTGTCACATGGACAATAGTCATGACTTGAATCTCATGTGACGGTTCCATGATTGGATCCTATGACCTGAGATGTCTACGGAATCCAACATGAGGAGTGGCGTGCCTTGATTACCTCAAACGTCCTGTGTAACAGGAGGACTATAAAGGCGTATATCATGTCCTGGGTTGTAGACAGTCAAGATGGGATTTGTACCTCTCGTAAAAGAGAGATATCGTTGGGCCCCTCATGTGAGCGAGACTGTAGAAATGTGTGGCCGCACTATAGACGAGCGTCGTCTATTTCAGACAGTCGAACTCAATGAACGAGAAAGCAGTCGAATCAGATAAGGTGGTTTATCCATGCCTTATTTTCGACATATGATATCGCGATACAAAAAGGATCATCAGCCGGAATCATCACTGGCGTTCGTATGATCACGAACAAACTCTATTCGAGATAGGTAGTCATAGTGTCTTGCTAGAGACCGCCTATGACCTGTATACCCAAATGGAGATTTCGGCATATACTGCTATATCGAATGAGCCTACAAGGTCACACACGCAGGGAAGGACAAATGCATGAGAAAACGTCGAGAAACCTGGACACGAGGTCCGGACCGTTCGGTCCAGGAGTGGACCGAACGGACCAGAGCATCTAGTCCGAACAGACCAAATTGTTGGATCGAACGGACTAGAGGATCCGATCCGAACGAACCAAATTGTTGGACCGAACGGACTGACCAGTCCGAACGAACGGACTGACCAGTCCGAACGAACGGACTGTGTTTTGTGCTGGTCCGAACGGACCAAGTGTCTAGACCGAACGGACTACTTAGCAGTCCGTTCGGTCTAGGTTTCATAATTAATTTTAAAATCCAGAATTAGGGTTAATCATTTTATAGAAAGGAGATTAATAACCCTAATAAGGGGTGGCCGACCAAGAGAACTTTTAGAGACCTTTTTGGAGAGTCCAGAGCGTCTAAGAAGTGATCTAAGTCTCGTTTTTCTCAAAGCACATCATCGAATAGAAGATTCGAGTCCTAGCAGACAAGTTCCAAAGGTTGGAATCCATCCCGAGGTATGGATACGTGTAGAGGGCGAGGTAATCTTCCTCCCTTTCGTGATCGAACGAGTTCTTCAATTGATACAGGCCCCCGATCGATTAAGGTAAGCGTTCTTGCTTTTCTACGATTCATAAGAAGCATGGTTTTGACTCTTAATAACTTCAGGTAACAAATTAACAACATTATCTTGTTTGTGAGATACAAGTGTATTTTGGACCCCAGAAAAGATGGATATGTGATTTTTGTAATCCTTCTCTTGGATTCGCCTGAAAACAGGGAGAATGAACAGCTTTCTAAGTATGGCGACACAAAAACTGCCCGCGGCATAATGCTGTCGAAGCTGAAAAAGCTCATTGAAGCAAACCCTCTTTTCCGTGACAAACTCGTATTTCCTACTCTGAGAGCATCAAGACTTAGAACCCTGATCAATCAAAGGTATCTATGTTTGTACATCTTTATCATGTGGACCTGATACTGGTTGGAAGTGTACAATGCTTCCTGTTCTTTTTTTTAGCATCAGTCTTACCTGTGGTGGTGTTTATTTTTTCTGTTTATGTATATATATATACACACACATATTGTTGGAGTTGGTAAATCTAGAAGCAAATGGAAATAATTCAAACATCTTTGAATGCATTTTGGTGTACTTGTTTTCTCTTTCTCAAGCCTTTGGTGTAAAACGTTTTTCAAATTCGTTATTAGGTGTAGGTGGTGGAGATAATTGGGTAACAATTGAACATTTTTTAGAAAAATTGATAGAACCTTATAAATACCTTTTATCTGGAAAAAGCCTCCTAATTGTTTTTGGACGAATTCTCAGACCTTTTGAGAGATTTTTGAGATCCAAAAACGAAGAGGGAGATCCCGAAAACTCTTGCGCAAAGAAGAACATATTCTTCAGTCCTAGCAGACAAATTTCAATCTATTGGAATCCTTTCCGCCATATGAATATGTGTAGAGGGCAAGGTAATCTTCCTGCCTTTGTGACCGAACGAACACATCAATTGATACAGACCCCGGATCGATTGAGGTAAGTGTTCTAACGTTTCTACGAAATCATGCATGCTTGGTTTTAGGGTTTTATAGAAAATTTTTGCTTTACATCCGCTGCGCAAACCCTAGAACCGATCTCTTAGAAATTAGATTCACTGTAGAGATTATAGGAATCCCAACAGATGTTGCATCAACCACCGAAGCCCCTTAGAGATTCTCAACAACCGAGGCCCTGAAGGTCCAATAAACGAAATCAACGGGCCACCGACAACCAATTATCATACCAAAATAATGTGTTCAACCTATTACCTAGCTGGACTTTGGAATATTGTCTAGCGAGGTCCTTCATCCGCATCATTTTCTTCAAATTCCAAGTGCTAGGAGCCTAGGTGCTTAGTTTGCTTGTTCCTCAAACAAAAAACATTGAGAGTTGTGTTTCCGGTAAACACTGTTGATTGATATTTCTTCATTTTGCTTCGGTTTGTCAAAGTTTTTTTATTTGATTCATTCCTATATATGGACTGTCCCTTTTTTAAAAATAATTATAAATATTTTGTTACGTTTTATTATAAAAAACAAAAATGCATAACTAATTCTATTGAAAAACAAGACGTATTTTATGCTTTCACAACCTATGCGTTTGTCACTGACCAATTTGGTGTGAAGATTGTTTTTTCGGCAACATTTTTATTTTTGTTATTTAATGAATGAACCAAACTCCAATGTCAAGATCAAATATGGAAAATTATAGAAATTATATCCCCCGTAACAAAATTTTACTTGAAAAACGAGAAAACATTTTAATATAATGATTCGAGGCCATATATAATTTGGTTTCATTTCAAACCCGATAAATCCAAATACCAAATCGTCCAACTCGGGTATTATTTCGGTTGATATAAATCTAACCCAATTAGAGATAAATTCAACATCAAGAGGTCCAAATATGAATCTTCCTGGGGACATCCAAATTGTCTCTTCTTCCGAATTAATTTTAATTCAATTGTTATGTTCATGGTTTGGACTTATTTAATTAATTAGGAATAAATGGAACTCTTTGCAATAGTATCACAAAAATTTAACACGATTGCCTATTTATAGAGTTATATTTCGTCTAATTCAAAGGAACCAATTAATCTTTACTAGAACTAATCATGATGTAATTTTCACTAAAAAAATCAACGAGAATCCAATAAAATCCAATCTTGTAATTTTTAAACCTAATTAATTGAACATAAATAGAATAATATCTGATAATATATTTTTCCAAACCGAAACATTAAAATCAGAAAATAAATCATCATAAACCCAAAAATACCGATCCCTATTTATGCTTAGGTCCTTATTCATCTTTTCCTACAACAGCAAAAATATCCAAACAGAATTCGATGGAACAAAACAAAAAAAAAAAATCTGCCAATGATTTTAGAAGAAACCAATTCAATCACTTTGTAATATTATTACAATATAAAAAGCAACAATCATAATTAAGACTAATTAACGAACCATGCGTTTATTCTCGAGCAACTCCATAGCACTTGGTTGTCTTTTCTTTTTCTTTTTTTTTTACAAGGGAGATCTTCTATGCCTTGTCTCCAAAACGCCACGTGGCAATCAAGGCGAAGAACAAAAGGGATAGATAAGAAAAAAGAAAAAGAGGGAGAAAATTTATGGGAGGAATCCAACTAGAGGGACGGGGACCGCGGAGTAGTTATTCCGGCCACCGCTCACGGCGGAGGAAGACGACGGATGCTGCCGGAAAAAGGCTCCATCGACGGCTTCAGCCACGGCGGCGATTAAATCGACGGCCATCTTCATCAGCTCGATGCAGATCTCCAATCTTTGAGTTACCATACTGATTTTGCTTTCAAGAACAGGAAAAAAAAGTTTTTTTTTTTACGCTTTTAGGTTTTTTTTTCTCTCCTCTTCTATTTGCCGCGTCTCGATTTCTCTCGTCTTTACAAAGTCCAACATGCAAAGGCCACTATATATATATACAAATGTGTGTATATATGATATAGATATGGATATGGATGCAGTACAATTATTGTGGGTGGAGAATTTAAGATATGGGTCGATATGCTGACGTGGCAGGAAAATGTGCAAGCAAAAGTTGTTAGTTTCTTGGAAAATGCTTTTGTTTGGCTTTTGGATTAAGCGAAGGGCCAATTCGTTTGGGGTCGCTTATGAGACATGTACATACAACGTGTGTGTATGTGTATAATCATATTATATACGTGCGTGATTTTTGTATGCATGTATTGGGTGTATCATGTCATATACCATGCAAACTAGAGAGATGGATTCACATGAATAAAGATATGTCTAATCATATTTTGTTCCATACACTGGAATATGTACGTATCTTTCATTTATGCATGTGTGTTTTATGTTTGCATGTTTATGCGTCTACCACGCCATATTCCATGCCAATTTTAAATGAAAACTGGTTGATTACATTTTATTTATGCGAGCTCTAAATTATTGAACTTTATAAATTTTGTGTAAGATTGTGAATTTACAATAGATTGATGTGATCCAGAGAGATTTATAAATGAGGGAAATTATGTTTAATTTAAATGATGATACTCTTATATTCATGTCAGTTATGACAGATTAAATTTAAAATAATTATCGATTTTTTTAAGATGGAGGGATATTTTAGTCTTTGACGGGCCGGTTTAGAGTTTCTTTTCGACAGATTGTGTTTTTCAATTTCTTTGGTTCTTCTCTCTCTTTCGGTGGTGCAATTCTACGTTCCTCCGTATGTCGAGATCAATTTTTCGGTCAATGTGTTCTCTGTGTAACCCTAGCGACAAATACTTCTTCCTCTTTCCAAGATGCAGACTCGAGCTTTAACCCGATGTTCGAATTCGTATCTCGCTGTGTCGTCTTTTCTTCCCAGATCTTGCACGAAAAAGTGTTTCGGAAAGATTTCGGTGAGGGGTTGGGGTAAATCCCTAACATATTTGGCTCGTTAATAAAATATAAATTACATATCATAATACTAACTAATTAAGATTTAAATAAATGATATAAAGATAAAATCCTATTGAAAATTGAAATCTATAATTTTTTTTTTGATAATCCGGAAGTTCACCGAATGTTTGACCCGACTACATCTCCCAAAAAATCGGGGAAGTCTAGGTGAATGTCCCCCTCCACACTTGGATTTGAACCAAGGATGAGAACATGTTTTAAGCCACCCAAACTTGGATTGAAATCTATGATTTTATGTATACTTTTAAAATGAAAGCAATCTTAAAAACACAATTACTGAATTATATATTTCATTTATATTTAAATTTGAATTATAAAAAATAACAAATGTAAATTATTTATAATTAATAGAAAAAAATTCTAATTTAAAATCACATAAACCATCGAAAATATGGATTAATTGCGTGTATATATGTGTTATAATCATTTGTTTACATTACTTCGGTACTTATTTAAGGATTTTAATGCAACATATCATATATTATCATCGCATGATCAAATATTAATATAAATGCTTTATTTTAGCGAATCCAGAGACTGGAACCAATCGGACACGTGGAAATATTGGTGACGACCCTAAGTTTTTTTTTTTTTTTTTTTTTTTTTTTTTTTTTTTTTTTTTTTTTTTTTTAGGGATTTTAAAACTAAATCGGACACGTGGAAATACATGTTACGACTTGAAAATATTTATTAATCTGATCATGTTTCCCAGCACACAGGAAAGTTTGAGTACTACATGATATATATATATACACACGCACACATAATATTGATAGATTCCCAATATAAAAGTATTATATTGTACCCTTTTCTAAATGATGAGTTTTCTGAATATAATATATAACCAAAGGCCACCACGGTTATATTTGTTTAACACCAAAGAAATTATTGATGGGACCTTACACCTAACCACTGCTAAAAGCACATTTGAGAGAATTTAATTTACAAGCAGTATTAATAATTTAAACTTTAAATATGCATGGGCCAAAGGATTTATATAAGTATACTTTTTTGTGTTCTAGTTGTAAGCATTGTCCTCTCTTTAACGTCAAAGGTTAAAAATATATGCCATAAAACTTTAGCCGATCATAATTTTATTAATCAAATAATATTCTTTTGTCAAAAACTATGTATATGTATTAGAAAAACATATTCATTTGTTCTTGTTATTGGCATTATCCTCTCTCTGAAATTAATATCAGAGAATCTAAGCCAACCATATTTATATTTATCTTCTGGTAAACCTTTTTATTTTTCTTTCCGTCGGCTCAAAGGGTCCACAGGGAACCTGCCAAGTGTCTAAGGCTTTCTGAGTGGCATATGATAAAAGTCATTATCTTTACCATTGATGACAAAAAAAAAGAGTTATGTTAATGATTTTTTTAATTTATTATAAAAACCGATTATTTTCGTAATTATCTAAATAATATACTTTTATTTGGATACATTAAAACACTGACTATACGTAGTAACAAAACATAATATATATTTTTCACAATAAAACAAATCATTATTATGATAAAATAAAAATGACCATTGACAAAACAACTAAATTGATGTAAATAGATTTAATCGGTAGGAAATTGATTGGATACCTAGAGAATTAAAAATTTGTAAGGAATAAATGCAACTAACCAAGTTGACTGCTAAATGTTTTATCTTTTTTTTTTTTGGTAAAACCTAAATGTTTTATGTTTATAAAAATGTTATTAAAATTCTTTTTTTTTCAAATTTATAGATAATGTGTGATGATAATAATAATAATAATTTGTTGTAAAGTTTGCATCGTAAACATGTATTCAACATTATTAATATTATTATCGAAAGATCACCGAAAGGATTGCACTCATGATTAGTGGTGGAGAAATATAATCTCTGTATTTTTATGTTGCCTGTTCGGTTGTTGATATTTTATTAATAAATGCTTTCATCAAAAGGAACGATGATTTCAAAACTATGAATCGTAAAATTTATTGCAGTTGCATAATAAAAAAACACATTAGTGGACGTTTGTAATCCCAATTATAGTTTATGCCACCAATTAAAAATTATTTTCGGTCCGTCACTGTTGACGATCATTTAATAATTTAATGGATAATTTTTAAGGACTATTCGTTTTATTCTTTAATGAATTTATAAATATTAATAAAAGAAAAATTCGGAAAAAAACTTTAAAAAGAAAACAAAGGAAGACTTTTGTCACTTGAATCATAATAATAATAATAATAATAATAATAATAATAATAATAATAATAATAATAATAATAAAGGGTAAATACCATTAAATTTTTAAATTTGTAAAATAATCGAAAACTACTTATTAAATTTTTTTTGATAAATTTATTATTAAATTTTCAAATGTGTCATTATAGTTCTCAAATTTTCAAAATGTATCATTATAATTCTCAAATGATGGATCAACTTGTTAAGATTTTTTTATATCAATTAATTGAGAATTATAATAATTGTGATTGGCTTAGATAATAATAATCACTCGTAGACATACCTTTTCATGGCGTCGCTGCTATCTTTTAAATTTGGCTGTTCGTGTTTGAACTTTGCTATTCATCATCTATTGGTCAAATTAACCCAATTGCATATACGCCCATTTGGGGAATAAATTAAAGTTACAACAAAGAAAATTGTAGTAAACTAATAATTATGATTGGCTTAGATATGCTTGTTAGGGGAACAAAGTGGATAAGGTTCTCTTTTATGATCCCCCACACATACATATATATATATATATGTACATACATATGCTGATACTCTTACGTATTCATATCTCTTTTATTATTTATTTTTACGTGTATTTTATTATGCATATGATATATCCGTTTGTCGCGATAGTCGAAATTCTTATTAAATCGGCCAATAGTTTGAACCTCAAATCATAATATTTTCATGACGTGCACTAATTATTTTGGTCTTACGTGGAATTTTACTAAATTGATAAAATTACTAAGATGTAATAGATTATATATAGTTTCTTAAATTTTGATAAACCCGATAATAATAAACTTCATATCAATATAGAAAATTTTATCATTTTAATAAAAATATATAATATTTAAAATTTGTTAATAAATAATATTAAAATGGTAATATAAATTATTGTAATTTGAAAAAAATACAAATATATCAAAATAATTCAAATATACCAATTATCCATTTAAATAATTTTTTTCTTTTATTTCAACTAAATATATAAATGTAATCAATAAATTTTTAATTATTTTGAATGACTTTGCTTTTTGCTGCAAGTTAGGTATCCTCTTTTTATCTCAAAAACTCTACTGAGATTAGAGAGATTAACATAAACCTTGTGCAGAGAGTCCCACAAAGTTTTTGTCGTTTCCGGAGCTATGAAAGATTTGAGAATCTGGTCATTTAGGGTTGAAAAAATGTCAAAGCCAATTTAATCATTTTGACTCCATTTGTTTCTCTTAGTCGTGCTATCAGGGGCCGCGACTGGTTCTGCAACGTTTCCACTACGATTGGGTTATGTGCAACCATAAACCTTTGCTCCCAAGAACAACATTTGCTGCTTTTGATCAATAAAAGTAGTTTTCTCCATGGAGACCAATAAGGATCAGTTTGGTTTGAGTTTCCATGTTCGAAACAATCTGAAAAACTGATAGGGAAGGCCCAGAAAATGCTAACTAGAACACGAAAACAAGAGAAAGAATCTAGAGTAGAGGCAATGATCTCAAGGCTTTGATACAAATAACAATTTTGTGTTTTACATATAGAATCGAAAGTCTAAAACAAATAAGAAAAGGACTTTCTTCGTTATGTTTCGAGTGAGTACAAGATGGACTGGAGAATATATACATGTGGATGTAATCAGTAACGTGCAAAAATTCTGCAAGAAATCTGTCAACAAAATATTGAGGAATATTTGATAGCAAAGCATCAACTCCTTCCTCATTTGATGTTTTGAGACTTCTACAGATTGAGGAGTTTCCTTATGAGTCTG